TCGCCTTCCTCCTTGTGACACCCTTTTAGATATTTGAAAACCGCTATCATGTCCCCCCTTAATCTTCTTTTTTCCAAACTAAACAAGCCCAGTTCATGAAGCCTGGCTTCATAGGTCATGTTCTTTAGACCTTTAATCATTATGGTTGCTCTTCTCTGTACCCTTTCCAATTTCTCCACATCTTTCTTGAAATGTGGCGCCCAGAACTGGACACAGTATTCCAGCTGAGGCCTAACTAGTGCAGAATAGAGCGGCAGAATGACTTCACGAGTTTTGCTTACAACACACCTGTTGATACAACCTAGAATCATATTTGCTTTTTTTGCAACAGCATCACACTGTTGACTCATATTCAACTTGTGGTCCATTATGACCCCTAGATCCCTTTCCGCCATGCTCCTTCCTAGACAGTCGCTTCCCATCTTGTATGTATGGAACTGATTGTTCCTTCCTAAGTGGAGCACTTTGTATTTCTCTTTATTAAACTTCATCCTGTTTACCTCTGACCATTTCTCTAACTTGCTAAGGTCATTTTGAATTATGTCCCTATCCTCCAAAGAAGTTGCAACCCCGCCCAGTTTGGTATCATCTGCAAAGTTAATAAGTGTACTCTGTATCCCAATATCTACATCATTGATGAAGATATTGAACAGTACGGGTCCCAAAACAGACCCTTGCGGAACTCCACTTGTTATCCCTTTCCAGCAGGATTTAGCACCGTTAACAACAACTCTCTGACTACGGTTATCCAGCCAATTATGCACCCACCTTATCGTGGCCCTATCTAAGTTATATTTGCCTAGCTGACCCTGGGCTCCATTGCCCCTTTGAAACACAAAGAGGCAGCATTTTTAAGGGGTGGCTGCCACACAGCTGACCCCTGGCTCAGCTGTGAGGCGACTGCTCCTTTGGAATGCCGCCTCTGCGCATTTCAAAGGGGCAGTGGAGCCCGGGTCAGCTGGGGAGTCCAGCACGCATTAACACGTTAATCCTGGACTGCGTTAATCACAGGCGTTAACGCGTGTTAATTGACAGCCCTAATTTTAATTTAACCAATAATATTAATTTTGCCAATTCATTAATCGCAACAGAAAAAGATTCTCCCTTTTCTTGTGTTTTGTCCTGTCATTTTTAATTCATGCGTTTGAGACTGAATTGAACCATACTGGCTGCAACACAAGAAAATGTGTCCAAGACAATAATATTGCACTAGTAGCCATATGGTATGGATGATCAACTGATCTTCTGAATTTCTTTTTGTGGCTTCTATGAATCCTGTGCAGCCAAAGCATTCATTATCTGGCATGAACAATGTCTGTAGATACGCATCTCAAAACAAAGAGCCAGAACAAAACATTAAGTGTTGACTTGTTAATTAACATACTGATTCTTTCTTGTTTCATGGTATATCAAATGGCAATTTATAGTTCTTTAGAGGCTACCTCATCTAACAGACACTGAATAACTAAATATACATGTGCAGAGCCATAACTAGGGTGCGGTACAGAGCCTGGGGGGATGGGAAAATGGGGTGGAGAAATGAAAGTTAAAATTATAAAAGTCATAAATATGCTTGCTCAACCCCAACACTAAAATGTTTAGTATGATTCTGCACATGTGCAGTATGAAGGCTAGTATATTTACTGCTAACATTGTTTTGTATCAGGACAAAGGCGAGCATAAAAACAAAAGCATTAACATACAAAAGTTAAAAAAAAGAGAGACTTTTTAATTGATGCTATTTTAATTTTATGCCATTAATTATATTTCCTGAGGGACTGCCCTATATTTATCCAGTTCTGCATACAAAATTTTCATAAGAGCAGGATTTATTGGAAATAACCTTTTTACTTTGTGGAATATTACGGAGAAAGACTTAATTTTTATGAACTGATGTGAAGTCATGAAGAGTAGCCAGTATTGAAGGTGGCACGTGGAAAAATTAAGTGCAAGAACTCTGTGGTTAAGACTTGTTACACCACCCTATTCATATCCAACTCTTATTACAAACTTATAAAAATCCCTCTAAAGTCTAAAAACTCATGCTGAGTGTCAAGTCCAAAGCTACCTGATATTAGCAAAGGGCTGGATAATTTTATGATGATTAACAATATTCACATAGTTACATAAACTGAGATAAGAGTAATCAAACCTCAAAAGCTTCGCAATCACCTTCTAAGGGTTAGGAAAGGATTTATCCTCTGTCTTTCTCACATATATTACAGCATTGCAAAAGTATTAACTATGTATATTATGGACTAAAAGAATGAGGGAGGAGATTAATGGATTGCTGTTCAGGAATATTAAACATAGCTGTGTCACTTCTAGATACTGGTTAGATTTAATTGAGCTATGATCTCCTCCACTAGGACAATTCTTAGATTTAACCCCTAAATTTTCAGTGTGGTGCCCATTGCCCTACCCAAGAAACTCACATTAAAGACAAAAGAAAGCGCCACTGCTAAAAATCCACCCAAACTCCTGAAAAATGATCATTATCCCAACCCCTTTTCCTGGGTTCTGGAGGGCCCAAGACACAATAGAACCCGTGCAGGAAGTGGGGTGTAAGCCCAGACTGAGGATACGGGCTGGAGAATGTCACCCTTTGTGAGACTAGGCTTCCTATTCTGAACTATCTGTACACCTCGTTCCACGAAGCCTAGTCCGAACTACCTAGTTCGTGCCGCGTATAGCCGCGGGCACGGAGTCCGCACTAGCAGACATTTAAAAATGGCGGCGCCCAGCAACATGCAAATGAAGCCCGGGAAATTCAAATCCCAGGCTTCATTTGCAAGTTCGTATGACTACATTAACCACCCTAGTTCGAACTAGGGTGGTAGTGTAGACATACCCTCTATGATTAGGACATGGAAGTCATGGAATTTGTGACTTCCATTGACCTTCATGATATTTTCTATCCCAGAGCTGGAGTTCCCAGCCAACCCCCTGGCAGCTCCCAACTGCCATGGAAAGTGGGGCTCCCCCAGCACTGCTCAGTCACCCCAAAAGGTGGGGATCCCTGAGTTCCCATTCAGTGCAGCAGTGGTGGCCACAGAGCAGTTAAGTTACTAGATCCTCCCTGCTCCAAATCCACTTAGTCCAACTTGAGTCAAATGCTGCCCTTAGGGCACTGGTCTCAAACCTTTTCTGTCCCCCTCACCACCTTTACCAGTTATGGAATCTATTCGCACACCCCGAGGTGCCAGGCTCAGGAGCCAGGTCATGGTGGAAGGGGAGCTGCTGCAGGAAGCTGGGGCTAAATCAGGCTGGGCTATGGTTAGGGTTTGTGTGTCTGTTAAGCAGATGGCCATGGTAGGGAAAATAAAATGTGGCAGTGGCTGAGGGCAGGGCTCTGGAACCAAGATGGACCTTGAGTCCATCTGGTTTGTCTTTGTCCTCTGATGGGAAGGGTTTTCATGTGTAGCTGAGAGACATTGGACTCTGTGTTTAGGGCTCAAAATTGGAGCATTGTTTCCATTTGTATATTTTCCTTGTTTTACATTTTCAATGGTATTTCGGACTGTGATTTTGTATTGGTCTGCACCATGCTGTTTTCTATTAGATACGATCTTCTAATAAACACAAACACAAACACAAATCCAGGGCTGGAAGACAAGCTGCAGTAACTGAAACAGAGCCCAGGTCGGGCCCAGAGTAGAGCTGGGAGCAGAGTCTGGCTGGGTGCATTCCTTCCTAGTCCCTGCCCCCTGTGGGAGTTGGCCTGGTCCATGTCATGCCCTCCTGAGCATTCCTGTATGCCCCCTCTAGAGGGACAGACCCCACAGTTTGGGAACCTCTACCTTACAGTTTGCGCATATAGATGTGAGGGTAGAATCTGGCTCCAAGGATTTAGTGACAGAAAATTACACATGACTTTTTGGGGAGTACTTAAGTTCTTCCATGCCTCGCATTTCTGACTCCTACTAACAAATTCTGGCTTATAGTGAGAATTGTTAACTTTGAAAGCAGCACAAAATTGTAGGCTTTTTATGCTTTGAAAGGAATGGGGACGATGGATTAAAAATCACCTACAGTCTTAAAATATAGAAAATAGGTCAGTGTTATTTCAGTGGCCTTTCACTGCTAAAGACATAGGTTAATACGATCTCCTTGGGCCACAAATGAAAGTGAATAAGGCACTGTCTATATCACAAAACCATCATGCAATTTGGTGCAATTGGAGTCTTATTAAGGAAAGACCCAGGAGCGGAATTTTAAGGATATTGTGGAGGAGAACTGAAGGTTGCAGAGTTGGGACTGGGGCAAGGAATAGCTCATGCAAATAGTCTTTTACCTCAAAATGACTACTGAATTGCAAAGACAAGGTGGGTGAAGTAATATCTTTTATTGGACCAACTTCTATTGGTGAGAAAGACAAGCTTTGGAGCAATACAGAGCTTTTCTCTAGGTCTGGAAAAAATACACAGAGTGTCACAAGAGGTTGTTTAGCATAAGCCGTTAAACACATATTTTAAGGGACCCTTTGAGGTTAAGTAGCCTGTTAACATCCCATCAGTCATAGGGAGAAAAGGAAAGGAGGGGGTATTTGAGGCTAGCAATAAGTCCAGTCTCTATTTAGTCCATGATTTTTAGTGACTAGTCTCTATATCTGTCCTATCAGAAACCTGAACAATAACATTTCCAAAAGACAAGCTTGGAAGCTTAAATCCATAACTTTGCTAGACACTAAAATGCATGGACTGAAGGCAAATTAAGTTGATGGGAGAGCTCTCTCCCATCAGCTGCCTTACTTTCTCCACCTCTGCAAGAGATGGTAGCTGTCAGCTGAAAAGCTTATAAAATTAGGTTTCCAGACCTGAAGAAGAGCTCTGTGTAAGCTTGACAGCTTGTGTCTCACCAACAGAAGTTGGGCCAATAAAATATACTGCTTCACTCACCTGGGTTTTCTAATATCCTGGTACCAACATGACTACACAAACATTGCATATTAAACTGTATTGGCAGGATAAGTATTTATCAATCAGCTTCTTTTAACATACCAGTCCTTATCAAAATTCAGCAGCTCTGCTAATGCAATCCCCTGCAATCAGCAAGAAAGCAGCAACACTCCACAGATCTTTGATCCATCAGTCCTAAAAATCATAGGCCATTACTGAATGCAGACTAAATCATAAGAGGTTTTTTTTTTATTTCAGCAGTTTTTCCCATTACATTTGTTCTGCTTGTGCGTACTACATAGCATACTCTGTCATACTGCTTTGCAACACCAACTATGAGAGAGCAGGGCTAGGCAAAATATAATCTGTGGGCTGGATCTGGCTCTCCAAACTGCCAGATCTAGCCCGTGAGAGCCTCAGCCGGCCCTCTGCCTGCAGCGCCTCTACTTGGCACTCAGGGCCATGAGCTTCTGTGAATGCTGAGATCCTGGGGGAGGAGGCAAAGGTGTCTCATACTGCTCCCACCACCAGTAGCTCCCATTGGCCAGTTTCTAGCCAATAACAGCTGCCTGTTTGCAGGACAGGCAACATATAAAGTTCCCCTCCCCCCCCATGCAGTGAGCAGTACAGGGACGTGGAAGGCAAGGGACCCTGGTTAAGGAACCTGCTGGGCTGCTGGCTGGGAGCCAACCAAGTAAGGGCTCCCCAGCCAGAGCCTGCCTTTGGCTCCCAGCCCTTCCCCCCCTCAACACTCTGCCCTCCTACCCCATATAACCCAAACCTTCTGACCCCTGCTCCAGCCTCCATACATTTTCCTGGATACTGCATCCCCTCCTACGTCCCTCCTCAAGACACACACCTCTCCTAGAACTTGCACCCCAATCATCTATCCCTGGTGATAGCCCAAATCCCTGCGCTTGTTCCCCAGATAACAAGACCCTCTCATACCCTGCACCCCCTCCTGTACTCCTGCCCCAGGTTATGACCCCCTCCCAGACCCTGTACTCCAGGGGAGGGTAAGACAGCCTGAGCAGGCCAGATCTGGCCCACCAAGCCCTTTGATCTGGCTCACAGCTGCCCTGCTGCTCCTAGGCCAATCAAGACCTGGAGACGGGGGAGTTCATAAAGTCTCCTCCCTTCCGCCGGGGACGCACAGCACCAGAGGGAACTCTTTAGGTGCCAAGCTCCCTTGGCAGGATGGGGGTGGGGTGGGGCAAAGACTTAACGTGCTCCCTTGCCCCAGGTAAATCAGGATCTGTGGGTGGGGAGCTTGTGAAGTCTCCTGCCCCTGCCTCTTCCACCCGAGGCCCCGTCCCTGCTGGGATGGCCTGTGACCACTTTCAAAATTGTGAAGGGCCCCCTTGAAAAATTATTGTCCACCCCTGAACTAGCGCTACCTATAACAAGCCATTAAACAACCTTGGGCACTGCCACAGACCATCCAATTAATATTACTGTCAATCCATTCTGACACTGCATGTCTTTTGTCTGGCAACGTTGGAATAGCCCTGTGGACCTGGCCAATTTATAGCACGTGTTGAAAGAAACATGTATCTTTATAAATAAATATTACATGTACAACACTATGATGTAAAAATCTAATAGAGAGAGATGACATATGTATCACAATTCTATATATTATACCTTCCATATGTCTGGAAGAGGCCAAAACATTACATCCCAAATTGGGCACTAACTTTGCATGCTTTGAGTGTCCCATTTGAGACAATTACCACTACGGCCTAATTTTCAGGCGTTGAATGGCTACCCCTGTGTCTGAAATCAGCAATATCTGGAAGTGCTCTGACAATCCCCTTTCATTGAAACTCTGCTTCTGAAAGCACTTACACGGTGCTTACCTTTACACAATGCAACTAGCCTCATGAATTCATTGGTGCTCTGCGCCCTTACAGGAATATGCTCAGACCGAGCTCATTGCAACAACGGAGCCTAGAATGAAACAGTTCAGGTCAGAAATTGTACATTTTTACTTACTGCTCATCTAGCACAGTGGGGCAATTAAAAATAAATAGTAAATGGTATATACACATCCATTGTTTTGAATGGAGTTGTTCTCAATCCAGTTTCCAATCCTCACCACCTAAAAATCTAGCGATTACTACTTCATCAGTCCCTATTTTATTTAAAAATTAATGCAACAGTACAAGACAGAGTAATTTAATTTCCAAGGAAACAATGGTTTTTAATTTGTTCTGTAAATAATGGATATATTAGACTAGAATGCCCTAACTTGGATGTTGACAAAACTAGCTAGGAAGTTGTGAGTTTAAGTTGTATGAGTATGGTGGATTATGTATTAGAATAAATTGGCAGGGGCTGAAAAGGGTCCGACCTAGACTTGCTCACTCTCATTTGATTTGGATTAATTTTTAATGTTTTTTTATGAAGACGTCTTTAAAATCTCACCCCTTCATTTACTTTGGGACATGGGAGCAAAGATGCAGTCTGGCACACTGCGGGTATGGAGAGCTGGTGGCATACCAGTGAGAGCCACAACTCAGTCAAGTCCTGGCTGGTATAACACGGAGATTAATATTGGGAGACATAGCAAAAGGGAGACTAGAAAGTGGATTT